CTAACCATCTCAGGTTAAATCGCCTCCGAAGCATTACTCAGTCAGATTACCCCGAAGGAGTCCAGCCTTGACTCTGCGCGGGGTCTTGTAAAAGGAAGTTAATGCGAGAGCCCTTCATCCCCCCTTCGCTGGGGAGAGGGCTAAACTCTCTTTGTAGCTCTGCCCGCTTATTTAGAAATCCACCGACGCGCGTACAGTCACAGCTACACCCCGCAAAGGTCCCGACAGCACTTTTTAGCCCTGCTAGATCGACCTAGCGAAAAGGAAACAGGTCAGCCTCTGGTCCTCCTTTCCCCCCCCAAATGGACTATAACGGGGCGAGTCAAACCGCGCACGAGTGGCGAGAAAGCTGCTTCGCTGCTGCCCTGTCCCGTCCGCTCGCCCTTTTCTTTCAAAACCTCCACGCAAGTTTCGTCTGCCAGAGCCGGTTCCCCGCCGCCACCGGGGAGGGTGGCCGCCCCGACAGGGTCCTGCCTAGGCTGCCTCTGGTGATATGTTCGTTTACCTGATGATGCTGCTTAGTAAAACGCTCGAGTTAAAAGGAAATGCTAAGGAGGAGAGCAGGGAAGATGAGATGCGTTTTGCCTGGTGGAAGCATTTTCATGAGAAAGGCACGGTCTTCACCCCGTGTTTGCAGAATGCGGCTACACGGACGTCCCTTCAATAGCTTCTGACCCCACACAATCCGTTTGATAACACTCGAGAGGTGGAAGAATGGGAGACTTTGTCAATCAAATGGTGCCAATCCCAATGGAAACGGTGCCACCAAGACCGCAGCGCGTTTCCTCATCAACTGGATTGCGGGGGCTGGGAACTCAAGGATCAGCTTTTGAAAGTGCGCACAGGGCTCTCCAAAGACAACAATGTCTTTTTTATACGAGCTGCTGTGCCTCCCCGAGGGGAATCAAATGTGCTCGGCCAGCCCGAGCCGCCGAAGGGCCAGGGCTCTGCCTTGCCACCCATTTCGCCGGGCAGGAGCCGCGGAGGAGGGGGGAGGGCGTGTTGGGCATTTCTGCCTGGTCCGGCGCCCAGCTCGGCTCCTTGCCCCAAATTGCTTTTCCCCTCCTTTCCGCACTTTCAGCTCCCGCGGTGGCTCCGCGCCGTTCCTCCGCAAGCGGAACCAACGCAGGAGCGCGGCCCCGATTCAGAGCAGCGTTTAAAAGATGTGCTTAGGTGTGAGCTGCCGGCTGGGCTGGCAGAAACCTTCGGGGCACCTGGGCTCGGAGGGGAGAGGGGAAATGTCCCACGCAACCCGCAAGCCAGTTCTTTCTCAACAACAGGGACACTTTCTAGGAGGAACTTTTTGATACAAAGGCGTGAGCCGCTGTGTGCTCCCCGTGGGCCGGTTCACGGGTGCGTGTCTGGATGCGCCAAGCCACCGGCATACGAAGCACCCCGTCCCTGCCCAGCCCTGTCGCCCACGTTCCCAGCCCCCGGGGGAGGGGGGCTACCCTGCCCGCAGCCTGCTCTGCCGCGGGAGCGGGGCTCGGCGGGCTCTGCGGCGGGGCCAGCCGCTCCTAGAGAAGCCTGGGTTAAAGGGGACAAGAGCAGAACGGGGACAGAACTCTTTATTCTCTCCTGGACATCACAACTCTGACACATCCATAGAGAGTCCTAAACTACTCTCCCAAAGCCCTGCGCCTGGAAAAGGGGCACCACCGACGCAGCTTGCTGCAGCTCTCCCCTCCCGACCCACCCTCTGCGAACTCATACAAACTTCATCACCGGTTTCTTGGGCATGTCGGTGCAGTACATCTCCTGACCCTCTGGTCCTCCGTCCCCCCAAAAAAGGAAGATGTGCCCAGCACACCGTGTCCAGAGCCCACGCCGGGAGGGAGGGAGCGGAGGTGTCCGCAGTGACCGAGTACGGCAGACCTGTGTCGCTGTCACTGCCGGCCGCGGGCAGGGCGCTGGGAGTCGCTCCCTGCCTGGAAAGCACATGCTTGGTAGTATAAGGCAGGAGTCCTACCCAGCCGCGCTCCCTGCGAGCGCTCCCCAGGCACAGAGCGCTCGGGGGCCGCAAAACTTTTGCTGTGGCTCATGGGGACAATTCCCGGCCGTGGGAAAGCTCCCGTGCACTGGTTAGCTCGTTCGGGTGGGAGAAACACCGCAGTACAGCGGTCGAAATCTCTCCCCCCTCTCTCCCCCCCCAGGCGTGGGAACCTAAGAAAACAAGCGAAACCACCAAAGGCTAAAGCGCAAATCCTCACCCCTCCGTAGCGCACGCACAGCTGCTCCTCCAGCTGCTCAGGGCGTGGAGCATCTCGCATTTGGGGTTCCTCGGGGCCCCTTCGCCACCAGTGCCCCGGCGGCCCCACTCTCAAGGCTCTGTGCGAGGGCAGCGCTGCCTCCTCGCAGGTCTTTTCCCTCCTTCCCCAATTCCTGGCGGACGGCTGAGCCCTCCTGCCCTAATCCTTCGACCCCCCCACCCTCACCCCCCCCGTCTTGTCCTTTGCCGGGCCGTTCCCGGCCAAGAGGGCCAGGGTGGGGCCAGGTA